CATTGTTAGCAGCTGCTTATACAGTGTAGATGCCATTTCTTTGTACGTCATTATAACCTTCCCAGTTGGCTTTGAACCACTGTTTCTTGAAGACAGAGGCAAGGAATCTGTACAGTTTTGCACCAACAACCCTTGTGCCCCACAATTTGGGATAGGAAGTGAAGGATGATCATAGGTTTACCTTTACCTGAATGGGGCAGGTGAGACCAATCTCCAAATCTGCACCTGGAATTAATACTTTGCTTGATGAAGTATCAAATTAATGAAGACCTTGCTCATTGCAATTTGAGGGTTTTCCAGCTCAGCCAAAATGTAGCTCTTCATCCCATTATTAAAATGTTCCATCAGAGCTCAATTAAGAGGAAATTGCCCAGTTCTGAGTCACCAGCATCTTTTCCTACAACACCATAGGAGTCCGGACCAGCTCATCACATATCTTTGAGTCACTTTACAGGCTGACATAACTGTATCAATCCACAGTCTCTGAACTGTTTTCATATATATCAGTAAGTTAAAGGAGGTGACTGAGAGTTCCCAACCCATGGTGCTACTACCATTGAAATTGTACCTATATGTGTTTATTATATATGCAGCGTGGTGAGAGCCAAAGCTGCTTTAGAAAGGCTTTTTTAGGTCTCCATACATGAGTGAGCTTCAGAATAAGGTAATTTTCTCTGTCTAAAGGGAGTGTATCATTTATTTGTGAAAGGGGTCTCCTATGAGAAAAAAAAAGTCTATAAGTTTTATAGCTCTTGCCCTTCTCCCCTCTCCAATTTGTATCCTGACTGCTCCCCAGTCTCCTCTACACACTGTCAGTCAGATTGAGGGAAACCAGAGAGCCTTGGCAGTGGGTGCCAGTGAGCTCAGGGAAGTGGTAACACAAGCCACAGAGCCATTCTTTTCTGGGTCACTGACTCCCATTTGGCCTAGGATGCTCCTGTCTGATGGCTGTTTGTGACGTGTGAATTCTGTTTGGCTCTCTGGGTGGCTGCCAGAAGGCAGGTGTCCACAGCCCATCAAAGACTGAGAATAAGATCAAGTAGGCCATGGAGATAGGACCTAAAGTGGGTCTCTTCAGGTCAAGGTGCTATGTACCGATAAGGCTGGTGTGCACAGAAAGTCTGTCCCTGTCATCTGGGTGGAGATAAATGCTCACTCTCGAGACTCTTTCTTTGCATTATTACTAGACTTCTTGTTAAAAATATTAGAATAAAAACTACCTCAGGTGTTTCTGCTACAGGCACCAGAGTGATGTGAGCTATAACAACATTCACTTTGTTCCTCTGACTGTCCTTCCTCCTCCTCCTTCCCCTGCCACCCCACCCAGATGGCTGGAGCTGCACCTGACACAGGCAGCAACGTCACTGATCCCTCTTTCAACCCAGCTATTAGCATCAAAGAACAAAAGCAAACAGCACCGGCTTGTGGCTCAGCCCTTTACAAAGGCACAATAAATGGAGTCTTGCATTCAGGATAAAGCAAACCCTGCCTTGCCTTTTGTTAAGAGATAGACCTTTCTGTCTAGCCAGAGCACTTTTAGAAGTGCTCTGAGCTGGAGCAAGCAGATAAACCTCCATCCACGTGGCAGTGAATCCCATGGTCACTGGGCTTTTTGTTAACCACGGCCTCTGTGTGTTCCCTGAGTCACTGGGGAACGCTGCGTCTCCCAGTGGGGGAGAGATGGGAGGAAGGTAGTGCTGATGGATGGGGAAGAGAGCGGGGACAAATTTCATACAGTCCTTTTTAAAACTAATTGGGAAAACACGACCAGAATTTGAGAGAGCATCTCAGATGACAGGAGCTCAAGGACAGTCAAGTCAGCTCTCCAAATCTGGTCAATCTGTGCATATTTGTCAACTCTATCCTCTGCCTTTCTGGAGGATTTCTTCTAAGTGTGGGGCCACCCGCCGTGAGGTGCTGCATCACAGAAACAGGTTTCTTATTAAGGAGCCCTTTTGTCAATACATGCAACCACATTTTTAATTGCCTACCGAAGTTGCAAACCACACCACAATGGTGTTATAGGGTTTCCTGTGAGGGATTGCAATTTCAATTCTATGCCACAGTGGTATTTATTGTAGGGTCTTTTGTGAGGACTTTATGACTGTGTACCATTTTTGTCAAAAGAAAAAAAGCAGTGCTTTCTAGTTATGTGTTTTAAAATAAAACACAGGTACTTTCACCATTTGAAAATCAGCATTTGCTAGCAGATACCACATGGGGGGGTGTCTGCGATACAAGAAACACCTTTGTATTTAGTATGGGAAATAACACTAATGACTTTGTCTGCAACATAGATTAATATTGCAAATGTGTCACAGAGGTGCAAACAATGACTTTTTTGATGGCAACTAGTGTGTATAGAGTTTGTGTTGGGGAAAGACTTTCTAAACAGATACAGGGGAAAACAGTCGTGTTTAGGGATGCTTGCTGCTCGGTACATCCAGACAAAAAGTATGGGTACCTGGATGTCCCCTTGCTGGTTGCTTACTCTTACTTCCCACTGGGAAGCTACACTTTGGAGATCTTTATATAGCTCTTACCACTTCATCGTTCCCCTCTTTAACAGCTTCGTGACTGGTTTAAAAACTATCCAGTTAAATGAGTATTATTTCAAGCAGTCTATCAGTGACAGCCCCTTGTCTCTTCTCTGATGTGCTTAACATGTTTGTCCTTTGCACACCTTTTGTCTTCTCTTTTCTTTTCCCTTTCCATCTCCTGATCTTTCTCATTTCCTAAACCCCCCAGTGACTTTTTCCTGGAGCGCAGGCAGCCTGGTGAGGCTGAACGCGCACTCGGGCCTCGCTGGAGCTGACCGCAGCCACAGCGAGCTTCAGTCTGCTGGCGTGAGGCCCCCAGGGAGCTTTGGTGGTGGCCATGCCCACTGTTGCATTGGATAGTTGCTGCCTGTGTGTTTGCGCCTGTGCAGCTGGCTTGGAGGGAGGCTGTGACAGGAGGAAAACCTGGCTCTTGAGTTTTGTACCTGTGTAGAATAGACTTTTGGGATAGCTGCTTGTCTGTAGCATTGGTGGTATGTTATGCTGGTCCCTCCTCCCTTTTTTAGTTGTGAAACACACAAGCATCTTCTGTGACTGCTGCTCTGATTCCCCAAACAACACTTCAGTTCAAGTCCTCCTATGGACTTGCAGTTTCTTTGGCATCGTGTTCACACCGGGCAGTGTGAAGGGTCTGCTCCTTCCTTCTGCCCCTGCTCTTGCCTCTTGTTGCTTTCCATCCTCAGTACATGTTTTGCTGTCTGACACTTGTTTTCTCTTCCCACCTAAAAAATAATTACCTGCAGGTGAACTTTCAGTGCTAAGTGTCCTTCCAAGCTCCCGTGCCAAAACATTAAATACAATGATGTGTTAAAAAAGGATAGGTAACAAATAACACTCACCAGATCTGACATACATGTTTAGTAGACACTATGGAAATTACACGAGCTGCAGTGCAACAGTCCCTCCCCTCTTGGTGCATTGTTTTATTCGGGTTATTCCTTAAGGAAGGATATCTTGATAGGTGTGTGATGTACCGGGCGCGCTTTTCCTCAAATGATTCCAGAGCCATTACAGAGTGATAAACAAAAAGCAACGGAAAGTGATAAACAAAAAAGCAACATGCACAGGAGTTACTCACTCACCACTGATATGCAACTGCCTCAGGAAGAAAAGTGGTGCCTCTCTGTAAGTGCACAGCTTACAGCAGCACAGCTGGGTCGGACAGCAGGGGGGAATGCTGATGGGAATTGGAGGGGGCTGTTCGGGGGGAGCAAATACGTTGTTAGACCTTGGTAGCCAGGCACCCAGCAAGTCATGCTCCTGGGCTTGTGGCAGAAGTGCTCTGGGAACTGCAGTAACCCAAGTGGTTAAGGTATCGCTTTGAAGTCCCACCTGAGAGGCGATCCCAGCAGCAGCACAGCTCCTGGGCAAGGTTCCGGCCACCAGGCAAGAGTGCTACCTCTGGACTCAGCCCCACTAGTTCCTCAAGCAAGTTGATTTTTTCCTTTGGAGGCCTTCCAATCAAGATATTGATCTAGCTTGATCCTGTGAGATTTCAGGGGTTCCTCCCTCAAGGTGTTACGATAAGTGTAGCTATTTGAGAGCAAAATTAAACGTGGGATGATAACAAGGATGTAAGAGAGGCCTTTTTTAAAATGTTTTCTCTGGGGTTGATGGGCTTTGCCCAAACCAGATACTACCTTAAAAGATACGCCTCTTCTGTGGTCGATATCATCACTTACATAGCCTTGCTCCTCTCCTTTGTAAAGGACTAAATTATTCTGGGAGTAATGTGATTGATTCCAAAAAGTGATCTTGAGTCATGAAGAGAAAAATATTGAAAAACAGTTGGTCTGAATCCAGCATTTTGTGAAAAGACAACATGTGAGACATGCAAATCTCTGGCACTCCTTCTCCCCAACCCCTACCACTGTCTGCAATGAAGGATGGTTTTTGGGAATGATGGGCAGGAGGAATGAAAAGGAATGGGCTCTCTTCTAGACTTTGGGACTATGTTGAATGCCTTGCACCTGGTCATAAATTCACATGGCCCCTCAAAGGGGAGCAGGTTCCTTTTTTCTTCTGAAAACTTGCTTGAATTTATGTGCAATAGAAACCTACTGCAGGCAGGTGGGTTTTTGTTTCTTTGTTTTGCGTTTGTGTGTGAAGTATAGTAGAACATGTTAACCATATTCTTACAGGAGCTGACTTGGCTTGGGTCTATCTGATTCCAGAAGCTCTCTCTCCGGACAGATATGATGGTGGACTCACTTTTACATGCACAGTGGAGAGGGAGCCAAAGCCTTCTCCCTTGCATGGCTGGGTGCTTGGCTGCGGATGCGTGGCCTTCAAACAAACCTAATTACTTCTGGTTTTGCATGAAATTGATTTCCATGCAAGGATACTGAGTTGCTGTGTGCATCTCTAATGGCTTTTCTTTCTTCTCTCTCTCTCTCTCTTTTCCTTTTCTCCCTTCTGCTTGCCATGAAATCACCTCGACAGATGTCAATCATATTCCAGGTAAGTGTAACCTTTGCTGAGCTGAAAGACTGCTCTTTAGGGAATGCTGGGGTGCAGTTACTAGGGGCAGAAATCTCATCCTGTTTCCCATGAGAGTTTAGAACAAATCTTTCTGCTGGATACCACAGAGTCTGGATTGCAAAGTCTCTGAAAAAAGGAAGACTTCACAAAAGCAAATGTCACAAACATTCCTCTTTGGAGATTGCTATGTTGGTCAGTTAAAGGGATGCTTTCTGAATGAAAATTGCATTAAAATGATTGCTTATATTGCTAATAACCTGGCTTGGAATGCTGCACTTTATACAGGTTATTTCTTCTAGATCTTCAAGCAGTTTGGCATATAAAAACTAGATCAGTCATTTTCATTCTCCCACTGTAGACTGCTCCATTTACTGGTCCCACTGAAAAGCTGTTGACTTTCATTTATACTAACTCACAGAGGATATTTTTTGTTTTATTTAAAAGCTTTCTGGGCAAATATGAATGTGTGATCTTATTTGGGTCTCAAAAACCTTCATTCCCCACAATGCACAAGTGATTAATTTAAAAGAAAAAAGAATGTTTATTTTATACGCTTTTTTTATTTTGGGGTTTTTTCCTCCACAAGGGGAATGTTTTACCACAGAGAACTCCAAACATCCTTCCCAGATTGCTCTGTCGTTGCTGAAGGGATTTGATTCCCCTTAACTGCAGCTAGAAGGGTTAATCGCACTAGACCAGCTTGCTCTGTAGTTCACATCTTGTTGCCACTGAAGCTTAAGAGACTAATTTTTACTTCATGCTCAGTCAGCTCCACCTGGTATATCATTTTGTGAAATCAAAATTAGAGTCCAGGCAAGCAACTGGCATTGCCCTGGCTGGGATTAGGATGATGGGAGAGGGAAGTCAAAGCCTTCTTCCTTTCTCAGCTTTGTGGGTAGCTTTTGCTAATTTGCTGCGCCAGACCTGGACCTGGAATGAGTTCTCAATTCAATTTGCTTCTTTTCTACAGCTGGACAATCAGATTTTGTAAAACACTTTAGAGAAACACAGTGAGAGCCAGCAGCTTGGGTAATTTCCCTGCATATTTATCCCTTTCTGGTTTCTCTCATCAGTTTCCTTTTTGTTCTGCTCAGATCCTTTGCAGTCTGTGTGCATCTCAGCTGGCAATAAAGGGGATGAAAGTGGCCAAATGGCAAATGTAGTTGCTTGGCATGTGCCTTGGGAAAAAAAGGCTCTATCAACCATAACACTGAATCTCTTCAGTGACCCTTCTGCAGGGCCTGAGCATACACCCTATCTATCTGCCCTAGTTGGAGGGAAGCAGGAACTCCTCACTCCTATCAGGTCAGACAGGACATACACTGAGGGCTCAGGGTCTCAGTCCTCTCCACCATGTCCTGAAGCTGTCGGTGCTGATGGTGGAGGAGGGTGGTTGAATTGGGAAGGAACCACCTTACTGTGCTCTACCAGTAGAACTCTTATTTTATGCCATGAATGAGTGCTGGCTTGCACAACAGCAAGGCCCTCTCCAAGGCTTGCGCAGCATGCAGAGGGAGGCTGCGTTGCTAGTAGGGGCCTGAGCAAGGAGAGCACAACCAGGACAGGACTACGTGTTGTTACTGGGGGCGCGGTGGAGTGGTCCATCCTTCTGTATGAATGGGCTCTTCGACCCTGCTACCTCTCTTTCGGTCCAGCTACCTCTTATTCTCATCATTTATATGCTTGAACCTACATTTTTTATTCTCCTTGTTGCTCATACACATGAGCTAACGTGCTTTGTCACCTGCACTTCCACAGTCACACCTGGGAGCTCTTTTCCATGTGCTCTCACACTCATTTGTGTGTGTTCCCATTCTGACAGAGCCCAGACCTCGTTACTGAGCTTATTCCTAGACAGTCCAATCCACTGCTCAGTACCCTCAGTGGAGATCACTCATGTTGCTGCACAGGACTGGGCTGTGATGTAAGCCTTCCCCACGATATAGGTGTGCTCTTCCCTAGTGCTTGGTTGTGCTGGGGCTTTCTCCCTATCCAGCCAACCAGCCATCAGTATTGCGAGGATGGAGTCCAGGGCCCCTGCCAAGCAACCCTTTTAACCGTACACTGTTTGCAAGACAAACTGAGGATTTTATGAGCTAGTGTAACTATTTACCCACAGGCAGCAGAAGGGCTGCAAAGGGCCTATTGATTAATTGGTTAATTTTACTTGTTGAATAGGCTGGCTAGAACAAATTCCCCAGTAAAAAAAGCTTGCTCTGAATGGGCTGGGGCTGGCAGCAGCAGGGAACGCAGCACAGGGATCTGCTGGGCACAATCCCTGAGAAGTGCAGAGAAATTGGTCTTGTTCAAAGTAAGCAGCAACGTCTAGTATGAGCCTTCCCTCTCTGCTCGCAAAGAAGGGGCCCTCCAACAACAAGGGCTGGTGTGCTGTACTCCTCTTGAGAAGTAACTGAAGATCTCATCTGGCTCGTTTCCCAAAGGAAAGGAATTTGTCAAATGTTAGCTCAGTTGCCCTGTAGGTGTTTTGTCCTGGTCACAAAATAGCACCACATCGTAAGCAGCAAAGTCAAGCAGTTAGAGCAGAGCCCTGGAGTTAGGAGCGTTGCTGTCTGTGCTTGGCTAGGTCACTGACTTGCTGTGTGGTCTAGAGGGCAAAGCCCTTCTCCTGCTGGAATGCGTCAGTTTTCCCTGTGGTGTTTTAGCCACAGCCTTATCTTGCCTTCGTAGGGTTCTTTGCACTCTTAGACTGAACATTATAGGGGTGAAGTGCTGTATTATCATTCATACCACCAAGATCAGTCAGAGGGTGGTGTGCAGCACAGACCAGAACGGATGTCTTTTTCTCCTCTGCCTGATATCTGCCCCTTTCTTTGCACTTTTTACTCTTTGCCAGTGGTCAAGAGTGCTACCAGACAAAGAGTTGGGGAAAGATCAGTCGATTGAGGAGCTAGTGATGTGCTCCTCTTTCACTTAGTTTTTTTCAGTGGAAGAATATGAAGGAGAAAGGACTAAACAAAGGTACTAGATATTAGGGTGATCGGCACTGATACCTAGGTGATGTCTAACAGCGCTTTTACCATCCATACCATGCTCATCCCCTCTGTGGGAGGGATCTTGGGATGTTCATGGGGAAAAGGCTAAGATGAAGTTCTGTCATGGTTTCACTGCTGACTAGGGTTTGCTTGTAAGTGAATGGGCACAACCTTGTAGAAATGATCTAGTTAGTTGTGGCCTTGAGGAAAATTTAGTCTCTGTTTGCCTGAACAACTCCTTCGTAAGGGTGCAGAGGTCCTTGAAGAGAGGAGCATGCTAGCACTTTTTTGGCCCAGGGCTTTGATCTTTCATACTCTATCGCTTAATGCTCCTTTCTTTTCTTCATCTCAATACTGGTGTTGTGGTCTGGCTCCCTAGCTCCATGTCCTGGGGTAATTTAAGCAGTACCAGTATGCTCGATCCTGCTTCTTTGAAACTGTATTTTTTTTACCTTTTTGGAATGAACAGGTCTGAAATGTGTTTCAGCCCATTTGAACTTTCCTATTTACAGAAGATACTAGATAAGAGTACACCTGACAGCAGAATCCCCCATGACACATCTTCAGCCCCGCAGCTGGCGGGGACCTGTGTGTCCACACATATGTTCTTCTTCACAGGTGCCACCACTCTTAGTGTTCTTGCAGGCCATTCTTTGCTTAGGCACAGTCCACAGATCAGATTCTCTTGCACTGAAATGTATATGTTTTTCAGCTCTATGAACACTCATTTGCAAGTCCATGGCAGCAGTAATCATTTTGGGTCGGAGCAGGAATTCATCTAGCCCAGAAGCCTCTTTGTAAAAGTGGGTGCTTCAGGAAAAGTTTGAGAAATAGAACAAGTTAGCATGGATCTTGCCCTGATACACCTTTGTGGTTTCTGGTAATCACTTTAAGGACTTCCTGACCTGGGATTGCACCCAGATCATAGTGTTTTACAATCAATGATAGATCTATTTTGGGGGGGGCCTATCCAGCCTTTGTTTTTCTTAATCCATTTATATTTTTTCCTCCATGGTGTCCTATGGAAAGGAAATTTAATTATGCAAACATGAAAAGTACTTTCTTTCACTTGTTCTTACGCCCCATACCTGAGAATTTCATTCAATGCCTCCTACTCCCTATGTTCTCACAAATAGGAAATTTTTTTTCCCTGTTCAGCTGCTCTTATTTGCATTTTACCTCTATCATATATGTTATCAGCCATCTTGTTTCCAACCTGAAGAATCCTATTCTATGCTTAATAGCGTTCCCTTT